CAAAAACATGTTGAGGTTAATTGGTGATTCTAAATTGTCCGTAGGTGTGAATGTGAGTGTGCTTGGTTGTCTGTCTCTAAGTGTAGCCCTGTGATAGTCAGTGAAGTCTAAGTGAAGTGAAGTGAAGTGAAGTCAGCTGGGATAGACTCCAGCCCCCCATGACCCTAGTGAGGATTAAGTGGTGTATAGATAATGGATGGATGGAATAATACCTATAAAAAGTAGTAGTGGCCTTCAATTTCATCAGCAACCATCTTTTTTTTTTAAAAATTTTTCTCGCGTCACGGCCCTCTGTTGGACAGGATGTGGTAATGTCTAATAAAAGTAAGGCAGATTAACAAGGTGAGCAAAGCTGGAGCTCAAAATACTGCAATGGATCACTTTGTATTGATATTTCAAATATTGAAAATAACGATTCCAAATGTTGGGTTTGCTGTTTTTAAATACCATTTTGGTTCAGAAGTGGAACCTGTTGAACAAACACCATGTATTAGAATTGGAGGAACATCTTAAGCCAATCTGTCTGGGATATCGCCAGTATTGTCATTTTTGCATCCATGAATACAGAAAGGTTCTCTGGTGTTTGAACGATGCAGATTTCCTCATCAGAAGGTGTGAACAAGGCTCCATGTGAATGAACACATTATCTCCCAGTTTTTTAATTACATCAGTGCGGCCACTAAGAGTTCACCAACTGTCCATGTGGTGTAAAATTAAAATAAGCCATTTTGATATGAATGACATTAGTATAATAAAAACAACTACATGGCCATGCTGTCTGTATGGTAGTATAATCCTAATCCTTTTGATCTATGGCTGCTGATGTATAGATATATGCTAACAGGGACTTCTTATGAACTAACCAAACGTGAACGCTAATTGTAGGTAGTGGCTGAACCTAATTATGCATCTTAATCTTAAGGCAGAGGGGCTCATAAATGATCACAGAGGACTTTTCTACAATGAGTAGTATAAGAACTTAACTATGCTTTAGTCCAACAGTATGTGAAGTTATTGCAGAAGTTTTGTAGCTGACAATATGTAGATCAGATGTTATATTTATTATTCTACAAATTAAAAAAAAACAAAAAACACAGTATTACAAAGACAACATGTTTTCTTTATTCTACTGTAGACATGAATGTTTTCTAAATGTAGTCTTTATCTTAATTAATAAAAAGACATGTACACTCTCCCGTCTCCTATACGACATCATCCGATCTAATTACTGGCACTGAGATTCCATGTTGGCGTGTCTCCGTTTGAAACGATCTCTTGTTTATGTGCAGCTCTTGTCAGTGTTTTTCCTCGCACACCTCAATGACCTCTCAAGGAGAAGTGAGGAGAATTAATTCGTTGCTGTAATTGTGTGGGCGGCTCAATTTTTGATGAAAGCACAGAATTGCTGCTCTCTCAGAGGTGTCGTCACGTCGTGTTTTAATGGAGGGAAAATAAACAGCATAGATTAAAACCAACAGGTTATGTCAATTAATTTTGCAAATTACTCCCTGAAGCGAAACAGAAATACCCCCGTCTACAAGTGGTGGCCGGGTTCAATGAGCTGTGAATGGTGCTGTAATAGCTCCCTCTAGTGGCTGCTCAGTGGTACTAACGAGTGTCTTTTTTTTTTTTTTTTAAATACCGTGTTAATAAAATTCTTGTAGAAAATCTGAACGGTGGTTTTGAACACATTTGGAAGAAATGTGCCAATAAAGCAAAGTTTATTTTTGGATTAATTAAAACTGTATACTTTATCAAAAATCCACATTCTGTCAGTACATTATCAAGTGATTTACATTGTTATTGATGCTGTTGTTTTATTTTTCAGGGTCCTCAGGGGCCTGCTGGACCACCTGGAAACCAAGGGCACACCGGACCTCCTGTAAGTGATGCCATCAACTGTTTCTAATGTGTTCATTTGCTTTTGCAGTGAGTGAACGTCTGCTACAGACTGATCATGTTGACATACCTCCTCTTTTTTTTTTTTTATGAAGGGTCTTCCTGGTGAAATTGGATTTTCGGGCAAACCTGGAGAGTCTGGAAAGCCTGTGAGTTGACCTTTTAAATCCTGAAGACTGTTCAGTCACTGCTGTTTCTTCTCCGTTCGTGTCACTAAATGTCAACATTTTGTTTCTGATCTTTGAAGGGTCTTCCCGGTAAAGACGGTCTGGATGGTCTTCCTGGAAATGATGGTGCCATGGTCAGTATGACCTTTAGATTTTAAAGACTTTAAAGCTGCATCAACTAGAAATGTTAGATGAACAATGATTTAAATAACGTGTAACTTGAAGAGGGTCACTTGTAGAGAAGAGTTATCACCTAAATCTACAGATAAATAGTGTTTTATTTGGCGGCCTGCAACTTTACTGTTTTGTTTCACTCTCGTCTTGTTCCCAGCTGCAGCAGACAATTTTTGCCAGTTAAAAAGCTCAAAGAAAACCCCAAAGTTAATTGATAAAGTTAGCAAGTAGCTGATGAACAAATGTTAGCATTTAGCAGCTGAAAACCCAGATATAGTTCTGTGGCGTTAGTGCACACGAGAACAAACAACCCAACTACAAATGGATGCTGACGTTCCTTTTTGTGCGCTTCATGTGAAAATAGGAAACAGCGAGTCAGGTTAGCTTTACAAGGGTAGAAGATGTAAAATGTGTATCATTCAGCTTGTTGTGCAGCGTTTCCCTGTCGCGACGAAAAGGTTATTTACTGACCCGACAACATCAGTGACATAATGACTTGTAGGTCCTTAAGGTGCAAGTCATCAGCAAGCAAGTGTCAAAGATCTGCTTCTAGACCGGTGTAGCAACGTATATGTTGTATTTTCTTTTTAAAAACTGGCTCTTTAATGACACCTGTGAACTCATTTTGGGAGCGAAACCAGGTTGTTTTACCCTTCATTAGACACAGCACCTGGCAAAATACTTTTGGCTCGTGCAGGTTTCGAAAGGATGACATCTAAATTGTAATCTTGTGTCTGTGAAGGGGCCCAGGGGAGAGCGTGGAACAGATGGTTTTCCTGGCAAGCCTGGACCTAAGGTACTGCAACTTAATCCTACCCAGAAACACACACTTGGATGTGGCTGAAGACATACAGTGTGTCGCTTATGAGATAGCATGTGTGTTTTCTATAAGCAAAGCTGACATTTTAATGGATGTGTGTCTTCCCTCCAGGGTGACGACGGGCCTCCTGGACCCAGAGGACCTCCAGGAGAGAGAGTGAGTTGTTTTTTTTTTGTTTGGTTAGTGGGATATTTTGTAAGTTAATTAAAGCTTTTTTATTTTTTATTTTTTTAAACAGGGAGAAGGTGGTGCCCGTGGACAACCCGGTGCTGATGGAGCCAGAGGAGACAGAGGTGTTCCGGTAGGTGGCATCTTTTAATCAAGCAACACCAGTGATATGTTCATTTCACAGCTTTGTGTCTGATTTACTTCTCACAAACTCGCCTGGGGATGTATCTTCACTCCACTTTTACACTTTATGTAATCAAATTATATTAGCAGCTCTTAATGTTCCTAGTTTTGCTGGGGAACCTCATGGGACCACTTCAGGCTCTGCTGGGTGTACCCAAGTGCCACTTTCAATTTCCAACTTAAAAAGTCCCCATTTGCCTGTGCAATATGCATATGTGAGCTGTAAAATAATGTTTTAAATATTTACTCTTTTTTTTCATAGGGAGAAAGAGGACAGGAGGGTCCACTGGGGCCAAAAGGTGAAAAGGGTGACAAGGTAAGTCTTATGTCTTATGTATTGGACAACTTTATCGGGTGAAATGAATTGCTGTGCATCCTACAGCGTTAGAGTAGCTACAGAGTCGTCCTCCTGTTTTAGTAATGGTCACCCTGCAGTATTATCTGTGATGGAGCAATTAGCATGCAGACTGTGTGAACATATTGTCTCGTGCCTCAGGGTGAAGCGGGAGCTCGGGGACCGCCTGGCGCTCCAGGAAATGTAAGTACGATTTCTGCTGTTTCTAGCTCCAACCCTGCATACATTTGACTTGATATGCAGATGTAGTGAATTTTTCATCTGCTGTCTCCTTCACAGGTGGCAAATGTCATCCCTGAGCCAGGAGAACCTGTAAGTGGACTTCTTTTACGACACTAACCAAACTTTATGATAAAAGCTGTGATTTCTTAGGGATGGTTGTTATGGTTGTTTAGCTGATCCATCCAAAGACGATGTTTGGTTTCGTGTATATAGCTGCATGCTCGATTTCTAAAGAGTAAATCGTCTTCCCTTTTCCCACAATTACTTCTTATAACTTCTAATTCCATTGCTTGTTCTTGCCTCTAGGGAATTCCTGGAGAGAAGGGAGAGCAGGGGGATCAAGGGAAACCAGGAGAGATGGTGAGTTTGTCGTCTCCATTCTGCCGTGTAACGTTACCAAACTACATCCAGCAATGTGCTCAGTGATCCACTAGATGTCAGTAGAGATTTGAAATGGCAAGACTGAAGAGGTCCTGAAGCTCCTGGTAAATTAATGACTTTGGCCTCTGTTCCCTTTAGTTTATAGATGTACAGCATATTAGGTGGAGCACAACAGGATATGTTGGTATAATTGGGATGAAACAGGCTGCATGACTTATGCACACACTTAAATTTATACACTTAAAAATGCATTATGTTGGAGTTTCTCAAGGCATGCCGTGATTACGATTCATTAATAATTATTCCTCGTGTGTGGATGTTTTTATGATAAGTCTTTGTTTTTCTTGAATCACAACTAGCTTCACAATGCTACAGTTTATTAGAAATCTTTTAATTCGTTTGTCTTCTGTAAAGGGTCCAAGAGGTCTACCTGGTGAACAAGGTTTTAAAGGACAACCTGGACTACCGGTAAGAAGCTTATGATCCCCTCATTCTATAAAGTCATTTTAAGTCCAACACCTCTGATTAGCGGTTTTGATTTCAGGGTCCAAAGGGGGAAACTGGTCCTACAGGAGAGACCGGACGCGTTGGAGACCCTGTAAGCTGTTTGATTTAATGGTTTTTACACCAAGAAGAAAGATGTTCTCTGTTGTACTCACTTTAATTTTCCTCCCAGGGTCCACCTGGCCTCGCTGGCCCTCAGGGTCCCCGTGGACTACCGGGAAATGTGGTACGTCTTTCTAAAAACCTTTTGCAATTGATGTATGTGGCCATTTGCATTTCCTACAACCATCTAGTGTTTGATGGCTTCAGTATGAAACTACCAGTCGTCTGTTTTCTAGGGCATACCAGGGATCATCGGGCCTCCCGGTCCAGCTGGACAGAGAGGAGACAAGGTCAGTCACCTATTTTTAAAAGCCATGTCTGCATTGGCAGGGACGTGTTTTCAAAATATGTTGAGAATAGTTTTGGCAGTGCAGAGAGAATGTAAGACTGCAGAGAGGAGCGAATGACCTTGGATGTCCTCCGTTATTGTTTCAGTCTTTGAATTCATTTCAGTCCTGCAGCAGCTGCAGCAGCTACATGTAGGAGTTTCACACGAGCAATTCAGAACCTTTCTGCCGTCTCTCAGGGCTTCTTCTTTTTCTTTGTTTTCTCTCTTTGTTTTTCTTCCACAAGGCACTGCAGTGACATTTTTTAACCATGCCATTATTGTTACCGTAAGACAACTAGAGGCAGAGAGTTGACCAATACACAGGCCACGATACATATGCTTTTTAAAGCATACCACTGTGGTTGTGCTCGACAGTATGAAGAATATGAAAAGTAGAAAACACACTGGTCAGAATTCAGAGCAAGAAAGAAGACGTCTACTCATGTGCCTGTTGTAGCCTTGAGAGACAATAATGCAGTCTTTGTATTCTACCATTTGTTTCAGGGTGAAACAGGCAAACCTGGACAAGCAGGTCCCCAAGGCCCACCTGGAGAGCCCGGTGTGATTGGACCCCCTGGACCAACAGGGAAGGGCAAAGACGGGCAAAATGTAAGACACATATACTTCCTGTCAGCCTACATATAAAGTGGAATATACCTCAAACATATAGTATTTTTTATTTAAAGCCATAACACAAACATAAGGACGCTTCAATGGATTTTTTTTAAAAATACAACATTTTTGCATTTATATTTATATTTACCTTGAGATATTTTTATTCCTTACTATCATCAAGGTTTAAAGGATAGATATACAATTTTTCAAATAAGACTGTGATTGTTAATTATCTTCAACTGCACTTTTTAAATGGCTAAACTGTGCTTTTGCTTGCCATTGAGCTTAATTACAGTCGAGTCTGGAAATTTGTTGTTTCCCCTTAAGTAGGTTTAAGTCATTTTACGCTGTCATTCATACTGTACGTTCATTTTTTGCAGGTATTCACTGAAGTATTTGCATTTATTGGAGGATTCAATCTTTCAAACTCAAGACTCTTGATATTTAAATAATGTAAATGTTTATAGTTTTATACACATTTAGCCTTACATATTTAATATTTTTTAATTTGAGTTTGAGTTGCATTGACAGACACTAAAAACCTGCATAAGGACATCTGACACGTCACTTAAAAACGTAATCACAAGTTGACTGTGCAGCAACACAAACAACCGGAAGTAGAATTGTAACGCCACACGTGCACGTTTATCATAATTTGGATTATGAGGCTCTCATCTGCAGTCGTGCCTCTAAACAGTCTGTCGTATTCCACATGTGTTCTGCTTGTAAACATCTCCTCGCCTGTTGAACCGCAGCGTAACACGAGCAGCCGTACGGGGAGAAAACGAGCCTGAGTCGGCACATTTTGCGCTACGGCTCGACGTGTTTCTTCATCATTTTTCCCCACCACCAGACATGTGGCCGTCCTGCTGACGAGGCAGGAGCAAACAGGAAAGACATTGTTAAGACATATCACATTAAAGCAGCGCAGGGCCACAACAGATTTGGCTCACAGCGGTTCTGTTTTTTTACAACTTCCAGGTGCGGCCCTGAGGCCTCGCTGCAGCTCAGAGAATAGCAGCTCGCGCTCACTTTCAGACCGAAATGATTTATTCAAACAAGGTGTAACTAGGTGCAAGCAATTTGATTGATGTCATTTGTGATATTACAGGGAGAACCAGGACCACAGGGAATTCAGGGACCCCCAGGGCCAAAGGTAATGTCATGTTTAGAAGTTTGCTTTCTAGGTTGTCTGAGTTTCTTTTTTTTTAATCATGCACAGGTGCTCTTTTGTTGATGTGAAAACCTTTTCTTTTCTTTTTTTTTCTGGCACGGATGAGAAAAACAATTCATTTTTGTTGAAAGCAGCAAAAGCAATTTCTGTGTCCACTGCTCTGTGACCGTTACTCTGATTATGACTGCCTCTTTGCTGTGAAGAGCTTGATGTCACGGGCAGCGAGCGGCTGAGGCTGGACAGGGGCATTTTCTGGATTTATGGTGTCAAATCGCTCACCCTCATCACCAATACATTTTCTCTTCTGAGTACCAAAATGTCAACTCTAGATTGTATTTTTTTTTTCATCGCAGATTAAAAACAGAGTGGCATTTCTGGGATCAGCAGTCATCACCACCGAGCCAGACTCTTAGCCAAACATTACGGCTGAACTGACACTATTTAAGGACTGGTGTGGTAGAAGTAAACTTTGCTCTTTCTCTCCCACCCCGAAGGGCCAATCGGGACCACGAGGAGAACAAGGTTTACCAGGGGACAGGGGTTCTGCAGGAGAAGGCAAAGTGGGACCACCGGTATGAGCATCATGGCTAGCCAGTGTTACATTGACCTGCCTCTGGTTTACTTTATCTGAACTTTGCAATGCTTACTGTTCACAGGGGCTCCCAGGAAAGAGTGGTGAACCTGGATCTGCGGTAAATATTTGCACACCGAAAATAATTAAATATTTTTGTGATTATCAGTTTCTTGAATGTGTGTCTCTGGGTTTCAGGGTATGAGGGGTCCACCAGGAGTCGCTGGTCCTCAAGGCCCAGCAGGGCACAATGTAAGTCCAAAAAGTGCACAATTTAAAAAAAAAAGAATTATTAATTAAATGATAGTGATTGAAAGACTCTCTTTGGATCATTCGTCTTGCAATTCCAAATTGATTGTTTCCACTTTCTGTAATAAATCACAGTTTTGGTAGATAGATGTCATGAGCTGGTAGAAAAGTTCATTCATTGCTTTTCCTCCAAATGTAGGGTTTACCAGGAAGACCAGGAGAGAAGGGATCACCTGGAGAGCCTGTAAGTACTGACATAGCCAGACCCCAAACTGTACTGTCTATTCCCTCTCCAGATGTTCGCTCAGCTGTGGTATATCCACTGAAAATGAAGTAGGATATAGAAAGACTTTCTCCATCTCGGGGCTCATAACTACTGAGATGACAATGAAAGAGCAGCTTGTCGGAGTGAAGTTAAGCAAACCTGTTTTGAATTTCTGATCCACAGCTTTACAGTTTTGATTCATGTCGTTTTGCAGGCAGCTTTTGTGAAAAAGGTCCAGAAAAAACTGAACCTAGCGGCGCATTTAGCAGCTAAACAGAGGTTAAAGGAGAATGACTATCGGACAGAAACCTATAAGAACATCACCAGACTGTTTTCCACTCAGGAACTTATGGGCCATTTCAGAGCAACCTAAACCTTTTTACGTGTTCCGACTACAGGAACTACCTTCATAGAACCTCCTTCAATGCCAGACTAACCTACAGTATGGTAGATACTTCTGACGAGCTCTGAAATGCTGCTTGATGCTGATTGGTTCAACATGGAGAGAACAAGTACCATTTTTATGCCCTCATGAAATAGCCTCCTCTCAAGCATCACCATCAACTATGTAGTCAGACATACCAAACTTCCATTGTTCTATTTCCTCAGGAGTTACATCCAGGAAGTACTATTTGTTATTGGCACACTTGTAGTTAATGTCATGTTTGAAGCTGCTGAAATATACACTGCAGTAGAAACAGAAAAACTGAAGGGTCCATTATAGCAGGGGTGTCGAACTCCGGTCCTCGAGGGCCACAATCCTGCAAGTTTTAGATGTTTCCTTCTTCCAACACACCTGATTCAAATGATCAGCTCATCATCAAGCTCTGCAGAAGCCTGATAACGATCCTGATCATTTGAATCAAGAGGGAAACATCTGAAAGGACCGGAGTTCGACGCCCCTGCATTATAGGGTTCTCACCACCTCATGGCTGCCTTGAGTTCATGGAAAGCCGCTTTGCTCACATGTTCATCAAAGCATCTCCATAAGGCTTTAGAATGTCAAACACATTTCTGATGTTCAGCTTGTTCTGGCCAAAAAAAAACGCATGTCATTGCTGCTCTAAGTTTAGATTTGAGTAACCAAATCGCTTTGGTGGACTCTTGTAAATCAAAGAGCGAGTGCCCTCAGTTTAATTATCCTGCTTATTCTGTCAAACTAGTGGTGACAACATGCCATGCTGTCATGGCACCATAGCAACACAGCTGGGTATGGTCACAACAACAACAACAACAGACCGCAGCCGTTGGTGATTTAAGGTCCAGAATTGAATGCGGTCTTGTTCTCTTGTGGAGGTTTCAAACTCATCCTGTGTTTTATACATCCAGGTTCAGATGGGTCTGCTCCATTTGTAAGACTTTGCTGCTACGTTTCTGTTTTAGAGAACTTGTTTGCATGTTTTGTTTTCTCTAACAGACAATCAAAGGAAAGAGGCTTCATTTTATACAACAATAGTTTTGATATGACTTACTCAGTTTACTACATGCACTATTTGGGCTCGATCCAATAGGTCCGATTATGAGAAACCTTAACGCTGCAGCCTCCAGTGATGTTCTATACAATAGTGCACTTCTAAAGATTTAGCAACAGGCTGGAGGAGGCCTTTTCTGTTTCAATATGTGAATGCCCAAGTACACAAACCCGTGACCATAAAGAAATGGTTTTACCCAGTGTGGTGTAGAACACCACAGAGCGGACCCACCATCCACCGTAACACCGACTGTGATCAAGGCTGAGTCCAGCATCAGAGGTGGACCTCACTAACACAGCTGTGACTGAATGGGAGCAAATCCCTGCGGTCAGGTTTTAGAGAGGAGGCTGTAAGAGCAACACATGCAATCTGGAGGGAGATGTTCAGCAGTCACAGGCGGCAGCAAATTTTGCACATAACTCTAACTCTAGTTTTTCCACCGAACAGAGCCCCTTTCTCTTAATGATGAACTCTTTCTTTTGTCTCTCAGGGAAAGGCAGCAGACCTTTCTGACCTAAACCTGAAGGTAAGCAGCAACTTCTCTCCTTTTCAATGAGAAAATACCTCAGGTTTGGGTCCTTGGACTCTTTAACACAAACGTGTCTGTTCCATCTTTAGGATGTTTGCTCAGACTGCCCTGCAGGTCCACCCGGACCTCCCGGACTACCGGGAATCCCGGGAGATAAAGGACACCAGGGACCTCCTGGGAAAAACGGCCAAGATGGATACCAAGTAGGACAAAGTCATTAACATCTCATCATGATTGTTAATAACCTCACTTCTCCTGTAATGTGAAGTCTATTATATTAATGCTGCTCATCTTAAAGGGGTAATATAAAGTATGTGTCAACAGTATATTAGCCCTGTGTGAGGCATGAGGTCCGAGCTTTGTCATCATCAGTCACAGTTGCTGTGACGGATGGGGAGGCTCTGTCTGCATCATTAGCTCGGCCTCCTCTGGGGGCAGCAGTGAACGATTAGGACCCGGTGACAGCGTTGGCACTGCTGGCCTGGACGGAGACTGATGGTCTGCTGTGTCATTACAGGGTGCGACGGGACCCGCCGGACCTCAAGGGCCCCCCGGAGCCGACGGAGGAAAGGCATGTTTGCACACTAACTGCACTTATAGTGTTCCCGTGGCCAAAAACTAATTAGTTGCCACTGTCGATAGTTTTGTTTTTGTTTTGTTTTACATCATAAAGTTCAGGTAGCGGGCTGAATACATACAGAAGCAACACACATTTTGCTGCTCCTGTCTCCTCAGTGATGTGCTGAACTTTTGAGTTTTTATTTTCCGTTGACAAAAGTTTGTCAGCTGGATACTTTCCTCCTGAAATATGACGTTTCACCTAATCTTTTTTCTTCTTCTCCACAGGGTATAAAAGGTGATCGAGGACCTCCCGGAGGCCCAGGAGACAAAGGAGACAAGGTACATTTGTCATCTCCATCCTCTGTCTGTGTTTAAAGAAACATTCTTCACACTATTGGCTGCTATGAATTCATTGTGTATTTTAATCACTATTATCTCTATTAACAGGGTCACCCGGGTCCCCCTGGCCATCCGGGTCCTGCTGGATTGATGGGTACACCTGTACGTAGCTATTTTGGGCTCGTTTGCATTTGTACATGCACCGCAGATGATCCAAATACTTAAGCTTTTTGTTAATGGGCTCATTTGTTTGTATATGGTCGAACAGTCAGGCTTTCTATTTCTGTTGACCCTCACTGACACTGTCTCGTGCTCTTCAGGGTAGCGATGGACAGCCTGGACCCGTGGGTCCCCCGGGGCCCCCTGGAGAAAAGGTCAGGCTGCACTCCGTGTACTTTCCCCTCAGAAAATGTATTACCCATGTGTCATTATTGTACAAACCTCTCCCCTCTAGCATGTAGGTCAGTCAGCCTCTGTGGTAATAGTGGCTATTAATCATTTCTTTTTCTGTGGTGATGGTGACCTGTTTGTGTTTGTTTGTTTTTGTTAGGGCAAAGAGGGTCTCAAAGGAATCCAGGGACCACCAGGTCTTCCTGGCTTGATAGTAAGAAAAATTATTTTATGTAAAGGATCGTGAATATTTATACAATTACTTTGCTTTAAAACAAAGCGGTTGGTCGTTATAGCTGAAATAATGCATTTCTTTGATGTGCAGGGTCAGCCTGGAAAAATGGGAAAAGATGGCCGGCCCGGGGAAATCGGAGAACCTGTAAGTAGGCATTCACTACATTTAGATACGTCCGATAGGTTAACATGCTCAGACATTGTGTTATAATAATATCTTTCCAGGGCAAGCAAGGTGAACTTGGACCTCCAGGAAACCCAGGACTCAGGGGGCTCCCAGTAAGTAACCAACACATCTGATGAAAGAAGCTCGCACAGTGCAAACTGCTGCAACTGATCGACTCCTTCTTCTCTTCATCCAGGGCTTTAAAGGCCACAGAGGAGAACCTGGAGCTCCAGGTCCTAAGGTCAGTTTCATTTGAGATGTTTGAGTTAACATTGCTGTCATTTACATTATTTATTCTTTGCCACCATTTTCTTGTCTAACGAGCTCCAGCATCAGCAGAGAGCCACACTGACGAACTCTCTGGAAATTTGTTCACCTGTTGCTGTGATGAAAGCTAGAAAAATGGAGCGTGCAGTGTTTTAAACTGTGGCTACATGCAGTGTAATTATTCCTCTTTTCCGTGTGGTTTTACATTTCTGAAGCACTTCTCAGTTATTCTTTATCAAGTTATGACCATTGTTATTGCAATAGCCTTTAACCAGCTGAACTAAGAACACACAGCGGCAGTAGATTTCACACCTCTAGAAGCTGCAATATTTCACATTTTGGTCCTGCTTTGTCAGCAGTGTACAATTTAACTATTCATCCTAGAAATGTAATTTAAAAACGATTTAGAGAATCCAACACTGATTAAAAGCAGAAAGTCTACCCCAGTGGTGTTGTTTGTTTAAGGTGACAATGTTTTTACTGGGTTTTTTTATGAGGTGTGCAGTTTTCCAGGCAGCGTGACTATGGAGTTACCTCCAAAACAAGCTTTGGTGCCAGTACAGGCCTGATGCAGTCTTTTTGTGGAACTTAAACATAACATGCAAATGTAATCGTTTACAGCGCCAGCTCAGACCGTAAAAATGACAAATTGTCGGTATAATTATTGCTGGTTTTGAAAAGTGTGGCACCCTGACTTTTAAAAAAAAGCACACAAAAGTACGTTGTGGAAAACCAGTAAGGATTTTTGCATTCAGGAAGATAACGTCCTCTGCTCGGCAGCTATACCCGACACTCCTCACTGCAGGGACTAGCACAGAGCCACATTCACTGTTTGGCATGCCGCACTGCGATGTCAAGATATGTCTGACACCTGCATTTTTATTTTTTTTTCCACACACCTTCTCCCAGAGAATCACTGCACCTGCTGCTTTGCCTCTCACACAGCACACACCTGCAGGAAAGGTTTCTGCCACAGCCCCGTGACCAATAGCACGGCTCATTACAGGAGCTCTGAATGAGCCACAGCGAGCCAGGCAGCCTCTCAGCCCCGCGGCCTGCGCTGCTGCCACACTGCAGACAACTTATTAGAGGAAACTGTGAAGTGTTGCCATAGACACTGAGATCTACCCTGCACCGCTTATAATTACTGTCACTAAATGTCAGTCGTATGGAAATTATATGCGCTGTTATTCAGAAAATTAAAAGGAATGCAGATTTGGCACAGGGCCTTAACACAATGCTGAAATGTCATTTAGATTCGCATGATTAGCTCTGCGGATCTCTGCAGCGCCACAGTGTGTTATGCAGCAGCCAGACTGACAAAGGCAGTGAAAGGTTGTGTTATGAATCATTCCTAAACTGCCAAAGTGACTCTCCAATCATTCAACAAAACTCATGCTATGTTTTCCAGCATGACACCATATGGACATGTTAACAAGGTGCAAACACTCGACTCTCGTTGCAGGGCGCCTTTAAGCCGACAAGCTAATGCTAAAAGTGTGAGAGTGCTGGTTTCCTGCTGGGCTGCTGAGTCAACCCCAACTCTGACCTTGAATTTTCTCCTTTTATTCATCCTATATATTTTCTCGTGTGGCACACAGGGAGAAGATGGAAAGCCTGGACCTCCTGGACGCGACGGCAAATCTGGGAAGGAGGTATGTTCAGGCGTACACATCGTACATCACAGCAAGTTCCTTCTAAGATACCTTTTTATAGCGAGATAGATGATGAAGTATTTGTTTATTAAATTAGTTCTGTGCCTTATTTTAAAATAATATTTGATGTTTGGGATGATATTAATATTATAATTAATATTACTAATAATGACGATTGAATTAAACCCACTAAACATATTGAGGAGAACTTCTTTTTATTTTTTTTTTTAACTTTTTATTTAATTTTATTTGTATAAAGACAGCAGGAACAGAGAAAATAAATAACATAAAATAGTACAAAAGGGGGCATACAAATTCTCAGTCAGTTGAGTAAGCATTGTCTTTGTTTTTGAATAGTGTCCATTTCCTCCATTTTTGTGCAAAGTCACCTGCTTTGATTCGCAGATGAAAAGTTATTTTCTCCATTGCATAGATCTCCTCCATAATGACCATCCAGTGCCCTGTATTTGGGGCATCGCTTTTTAACCAGTTCCTAGTAATGGCCTTCTTGTAGGCAACAAGAATTATTTTGAAAAGGTACCTGTCTTCTTTCATAATAACTCCTTCTGGGATCAATCCCAGATACAGAATCCGTGGGTCCCTGGGAACCTTATATTTTAAGATGTCCTCCAAAAGTCCAATACTGTCATCCCAGAAAGGTTGTAATTTGGTGCATGACCAGAAAATATGACTGTGATTGGCATTATAGTTTCCACATTGTCTCCAACATTTTTGTTGTAGTCCAGTCTGTTTGCTTTTAGAGGAGAACTTCTTTTAACCCGTAGTCGTGTCTGTAGGTTTACCTTTATGGCTGCATAAATACTAGAGTGTATTACAATATAAAACGCAGAAGTGCTTTAAACCTGCATTCTTTCTAACAGCCAGCAGGGGGGAATCCTCTGAGGTCTGATTGTATAGAAGTCTGTAAGAATATGAAAATACTTCTCACTTGATTTTCTCACCTCAGTAAACATTTTCCTGATGACTTTATGTTCCCAATGAGTTCCCAAAAAAAAGTTTCAGGGCTTTGTGAAAACAACATGATGTTTCCAACTAGTATAAATACTCAGTAATCCTGTAAAAGCAATCGCAGGGCAACAAGCATCATGCAAAGCACTTGTTGCTGCATTGCTGTGAGCACACAAGAAGAAAACTTCTTTCCTCTGGATGATAGTGACTTCAGTGAGACTTCAGCAAGAAAACCAACCCAAAACATTAAAAGTCAGGAGGGCGAAACTGAAAATTACACCCTTGTTCTTCTCATGGACTGCATTTTTTTATTTTTACAAATTGTAGCCACCACAAGGAAACTTGCTATTTAGCATTTTTATTCTGCACTTTCCTCAACCATAGGCTCCGCCCCCCCACGACCCTAGTGAGGATTAAACGGTGTATAGATAATGGATGGATGGACTTTCTTCAACCTATATCACACACTGAAAGAAAAAAAAGCCTGCAATACAGGGCCTTTATTCATATTAATAAGCAAACAATATACAGGCAATAACTTTACAAGCATGAAATGTGCATGAGAAAAAAAGAATCAGTATGCCTCTACTTTAGCTTTCCCTAATGCCTTTTCTGTATTAATCGCATATGCATGCTGCCCTGCAGCAGTATTTGTCATCCCTATCCTTTATGATTTTCTGTCCTATGCATCCTTTGCTCTCTTCTATGCTCGCCTAGTTCTTCAGAATAATCATTACTGTTGTCTGGAGCCGGTCGTACATTGACTGAGGGAATGCAGATAATTCTCTCTCAGTCTAAAAAAAGTTTTGGACAGAATACAAAATTTCCCAGCACACCACCACCAGAATCTTTAATCATGTCTATGCAACACTGGCGGTCTCGTCGTTGCAGTGCAGTGTTATGTCTTTTGACTCCGTATGAGAGGTTTTGTCCCATTTATCAAATGACAGACTGAAAACTCTCTCACATGCACATTGAAAGGCTGCAGCACTTATATCCCACCATTTGTCAAGTGGCAGAATATGCAGCAGCACTTCACAAAAAACTCTTTTACCAAACTCATCCTGTGGCTGTGAGGCGTGGAGACAGAATGTTCTCACAGCACAAGTCTCCTAAAGTAAGAATATATTTTCCACCTACTCCTTTCACGAAATAGGAGTTCAGATTTAACTCCGTGCTGCGGTGGACGCTGTATTCTGGTAAAGATTGAAATGATCAGGCCTGCCGTTTTTTCTCTGTATGCCCTGAAGATGAGATACGATGACGTTGCGGCAGTTTCAACGTACAGGAGACGTGATAAACCTGCCCGTTGTTTTTTTTTTGTGTTTTTTTTACAGGGCTCTATGGGACCTCCAGGCCCAGAGGGACTTATTGGTCCAAGAGGAGAGTCGGTGAGTCATTTTCAATCACTGGCAGGACTGTCTGATGCAAACAGAGGACAGAGGCAGCAGCACAGTGTCAAGCAGACTGATAGATATGGACATAAAGTGGCACTCCACTTATTTCTCTTCCTGTTCTTACCCATCAATTTTTTTTTTTTTGCATCCCAGGGCAAGCCAGGTGAACCAGGACCATCAGGAAAACCAGGTCTCCCTGGAACACCAGTGAGTTTATCTGCTGCGACTGTACATGTTCAAATTGTGCTTTTTTTTTTTTCTGTCTCACCAGCTTTGTTTTCAGTATAACAAGCTCCTGCATGGATAGAAAGTCGCAAAAAGAGCCGTGAAACTGATAAGAAGTGTGACAAATACTCTTCACAGGAAGATTTACATTTAGTGGAGAAACGGTGAGAAGAGCAGGAACAAGTTGCAATTTCCAGTGATAATAGAGCGAGCAGCTTCTGTACGTGGGATGCAACTGAAGGCAAGAGGAGGATGTGAAGGATTTCTTGAAGAAATAAGCTGTCAGATTGCGATGGAGGATTGGAGGAAATGTTGTTGCGACCGGGCAAGGGAACATCACGTCCTCCCGGGTGAAAGGAGTTGACCAGGTTGTTGCTTATATCGGAGAAGGAGTAGGTCGGTTTAGATCATCTACTAGGAGCTCAGAGCTTTTAATCAGGTTTTAATGAGTGCATCCACAGACAAATCCACACAGAGTCCCTGGTGAGAAAAGAGTCTGAATCATCTAATGATGCAGATGGCAAATGAGGTCATGCGTGGATTGGAAGGTGTTGAACGGAGAAGCTCGTGGTAGGTTGTCGTAGTGGTTGATTCAGAGATGGCAGCACGTCCTGTCAAGATGAAGATGCTCCTTTAACAGATAAGTTCATCTGTATTATTTTCCCCATGTAGTTATTGGGAGATAAAAATCTACATTCATTGCAGTTTACTTAAAGCTGCTAGAACCCAGAACCTTATTCAGACAAACCAAGTGGAGATCCATAAAGTTACATGTTTTCCCAAATACTGCTGCCTTGCTGAGGTGAAGCAGAGAGACCCTCTAAGTATGGTCGATCCCCTCAAAGTGCCAAATTCTCATATAAGCTTCCAGTAAATATTTTAATGTATTTTTATGAGAAGCGAGAGGTCTGGGTTTAGGGCCCAGTCACTCCAACTGGAACTAAATATGAAAGGGATCTCTTAATGTCCAACAGGAACAAGTGGAATAATTACAAAGCAAAACCTGTAAACACCTGATGGTCAAAGTCAAATGTAAAATGTTCCCCAAAAATAACACACCTTTGATCACTCAAGCAACTGTTGGAGTGACCTTCAAAGTTCTCCAGTCAAGTAATAAAAGGGCAGATTTTTTTAAATTAAACGCTAACGTACCATTTGCCATATTCTGTCATGTGTATATAAATTTGCATTTAGAAAAATCCAAGGATGCCTCGATCCTGATCACACACCACCATGAAACCAGATGTTTTTGTCGTCATGTTTCAGTTTGTTTGAGTTGTGGTGCATTTTAGCCACAAAATGTCACAACGGTGCATGATAAGATGTGAAGCAGTTGCTGAAGCCGTTGCAAAAAATAATCGCTACTGTTTAAAACACAGGCTAACTGTAGGCCTGCCGTCATCATTCAGGATTTGATTACGAAATTCCAAATATGCTCATTATTGCAGTTCGATCTGTTTGATAAAAGGAGTTCAGAATTTAGGTTAAAACCTTTAAACATGCATCAAATAATCTAAAAAAATCTAATTTCTGAGGACCTCCAGGGGTTTAACTGTTAATCTTTGCTGCAGTGTTGCACACGTGTATCCCATGAGATCACTGTTAGGAGTTGATACAAACACTGATGACGGCACTGATCAGTGATGCTGGGTGTGTGCAGAGGTGGAACAGGCCTGAAACCTTCAACCAGAGAGGGCAGCAAAACACTGATTCTCAGTCTGATGTTAAATCACTCGACAGATGCACGCTGCATCCAAATCCACGTCCCTTCTTCTTGGATGAATTCCTCTTCAAGCATTCACCGCAGTGAGAAAATGACAAATGACGCTGCACTACTTAACCTTTCCAGCGATGCTAGTTTCTTGTTTTGCAATGAAGTGTCAGCGAGAAGTAATGACTTTGTATTTATTCAAGTTCAGTCATGGTTGCAATCTGCATACGGCTGCGTGTCCATCTCATCATGCAGTACTATGGTTTGATTGACACCAGAACTTATTGCATATGCATGTTAATGTAGTTCAATAATTGCTTGGATGTTAATATGTCCATGCAATCATATGTCCACATCTTTTCAGAGCTTGTAGTGGCGCCTGCTTGACTGAATAAAACCAGTGATATGTTTACACATTTCTTAATCCATTTACACGCTGAGTCACAAAGTTTCCATCATTTCATAATGTAAACCCAGCACACATCAAAACAAATCGCACGAGTACTGCTTTCCGATGATAATAGTTGTTCTACAAACAGTATCACGGTTTCAAATAACAGCAGATTTCTGCGTTGTCTCCGTCGTAGGAGTGACATCACATCCCACATTGAAGAAAT